ACAGCTGATGTCAGAAATGGTGAAGAGTCGAGGTACCTCTGACCTCCATCTCATAGGAGCCAGCTTTGTGCTGATCCCAGGTCTTTGAACTGGTTCTGCCGGGTTCATTCACAGTCAACGAAGCATCACCAGAACCCACTCAAAGTATTAAACTTACAGTGAACTGGAAAGATGGCTGGAATGGGAAAAATTACTGTTCGAAACCCTCCTAGAAACTTAGTCTCTCTCTTAGAGAATAAGGGCAATGTACACACTGCACAGCAACCAAATCTCTTGCCCTCAGATTTTGAGCAGTCTGAAGCAGCACTGCTCTGCTCAAAGATGGCAGCATCCCACTCAAAGGTGGAGGCCAGCCACATTGCTTTGAATGTGTGTCGTTCTCCTACAATCCTGATAATAATCCCATCTCACGCATCAGGCTCATGAAAGGGCTCACTACACCTCTTCTGAGTCTCCCATTCCAGGGCTTCGACCTGCAATATTTCCCGTTCTGAGTACCATGCCGAATCCGCGAAATTGTAAAACTTTGGGTCTGTTGTTTTGCTTCATCAGCCATGACTGAACCAGTCTGAATCCGTTTGAAGCCCTAGCTGATACTGATTCTTATCACTAAAGAATCTAGACGAGACATGACACTGCATTACAAGTCCTAAATACATGGAAAGCCAGTCCATGTTTATGGATTGGAAGACTTAATATACTTAAGATGTCGATTTTATCCAAAGAAATCTACACATTAGATGCAATTCCCACCAAAATTCCAAAAGCCTTCTTTACAGAAATAAAAAATCAATCCTCAAATTTGTATGACCCAGCAATCCCAATGAAAGTAGGAATACAAACAAAAACTTGTACACCAATGTTCACAGCAGCACTTTTCACAACAGTCAAAAGGTGGAAACTACATTCCCATTAACAGATAAGTCGATAAGCAAAATGTGGTATATACATACAATGGAGTATTACACAGCAACATACAGAAATGAAGTCCTGATGCATGCCTCGACATGGATGAACCCTGAAAACACCATGTTGAGTGAAATAAGGCAGTCCAAATGGGCCAAATACTATATGATTCACGTATATGAAATAGGCAAATATATAGAAATCAAAGCATATTATTAGTGGTTACCAGGGGTGGGAGAGAGGAGGACAAATGAACTTACTGTTTAGAGGGCATTGAGTTGATGTTGTTGTTGTTAGGTGTCACAGTCTTGGTTCTGACTCACAGTGATCCTATGCAGAACAGAATAAAACACTGCCCAGTCCTGCACCATCCTCACAATTTTTGGCTATGTTTGAACCTATTGTTGCAGCCACTGTGTTAATCCATCTCATCGAAGGTCTTCCTCTTTCTTTTGCTGACCCTCTACCTTATGAAGCATGATGTCTTTCTCCAGGGACTGGTCCCTCCTGGTAACATGTCCAAATTACGTGAGATGAAGTCTCACCATCCTCCCTTCCAAGGAACACTCTGGCTGTACTTCTTCCAAGACAGACTTGTTCATTCTTCTGGCAGTCCAGGGTATATTCAATGCTCTTCGCCAACACCATAATTCAAAGGCATCGATTCTTCTTAGGTCTTCCTTATTTACTGTTCAGCTTTCACATGCATATGAGGCAACGGAAAATATCATGCCTTGGTGAGGCCCACCTTAGTCCTCAAAGTGACATTTTGCTTGTCAACATTTTAAAAGAGGTCTTTTGCAGCGGATTTGCCCAATGCAATACTTCGTTTGATTTCATGACAGCTGCTTCCATAGGCATTGACCGTGAATCCAAGTAAAACGAAATCCTTGACAACTTCAGTCTTTTCTCCGTTTACCATGATGTTGCTTACTGAGCCCTGGTGACACAGTAGTTAAGAGCTCAGCTGCTAACCAAAGGTCGGCAGTTCGAATCCACCAACTGCTCCTTGGAAACCCTATGGGGCAGTTCTACTCTGTCCTATAGGGTCGCTATGAGTCGGAATTGGCTCAGTAGCAATGGGTTTTTTTTTTTTTTTTGGTTTATGTTGAGGTGTAATCCACACGGAGGGCTGTAGTCTTTGATCTTCATCAGTAAGTGCTTCAAGTTCTCTTTGCTTTCAGCAAGCAAGACTGTGTCATCTCCATACTGCAGGTTGTTAATGAGTCTTCCTCCAATCCTGATGCCCCATTCTTCTTTATATAGTCCAGCTTCTCAGATTATTTGCTCAGCATACAGATTGAATAAGTACGGTGAAAGGATGCAACCCTGATACACACCTTTCTGGATTTTACACCAGCAGTATTCTCTTGTTCTGTTCGAATAACTGTGTCTTGGTCTAAGTACAGGTTCTGCATGAGCACAATTAAGTGCTCTGGAATTCCCATTCTTCACAATGTTATTCATAATTCGTTATGATCCACACAGTCGAAAGCCTTTGCATAGTCAATAAAAAAGGTAAACATCTTTACGGTATTTTTTGCTTTCAGCTAAGCTCCATCTGACAATAGCAATGATATCCCTCATTCCACGTCCTCTCTTGATTCTGCCTTGAATTTCTGGCAGTTCCCTGTCGATGTACTGCTGCAACTGTTTTTTTAATTATCTTCAGCAAAATTTTACTTGCAAGGGATACTGATGACACTGTTTAATAATTTCTGTAATCTGTTAGATCACCTTTCTTTGGAATGGGGACAAATATGATATCTTCTAGTCCGTTGGCCAGGTAACTGTCTTCCAGATCTTCCGGATTTCTTGGCATAGAAGAGTGAGCACCTCCAGTGCTGCATGCGTTTATCGAAACATCTCAATTGGTACTGTCAACTCCTGGAGACTTATTTTTCACCAATGCCTTCAGTGCAGCTTGGACTTCTTCCTTCAATACCTGATTCACATGCTACCTCCTGAAATGGCTGAACTTCAACCAATTCTTTTTGGTACAGTGACTCTGTGTATCCCTCCCATCTGCTTTTGATGCTTCCTGCATCGTTCAATATTTTGCCCACAGAACCCTTCAAAATTGCAACTCAAGATGTGAAATTTTTCTTCAGTTCTTTCAGCTTGAGGAATGCTGAGTGTGTTCTTCCCTTTTGGTTTTCTAACTCCAGGTCTTTGCATATTTCATTATAATACTTTACTTTTTCTTCTGGAGCCACCCTTTGAAATCTTCTGTTTAGCTCTTTTACTTCATCATTTCTTCCATTTGCTTTAGCTATTCGATATTCAAGAGCAAGTTTCAGAGTCTCTTCTGACATCCATTTTTATCTTTTCTTTCTTTCCTGGTCTTGTTAGTGACCTTTTGCTTTCTTCATGTATAATGTCATCCCACAGTTCATCTGGTCTTCAGTCATTAGTGTTTGATGCATCAAATCTACTCTTGAGATGGTCTCCAATATTAGGTGGGATATACTCAAGGTCATATTTTGGCTCTTGTGGACTTGTTTAAATTTTATTCAGCCTTAACTTGAATTTGCATATGAGCAATTGACGGCCTGTTCTGCAGTCGGCCCCGGCCTTGTTCTGACAAGAGTTTATGTTAATGGTGGTAAAATAAATCAGAAAAGGATAGTGATAATGGTTTACAACATGAAGATTGTAATCATGTCATGAATTATACATGTATAAATTGTACTGGCAAATTGTTTAACGTATATTTTTACCACGATTAAAACATTTCTTCATCACAAATAGATGAGCTCTGTTAGAACAAGGTTCCAAGTCAATCCATCCCAGCCTTCAACATTTGCACGGAGAGGACAAGAGGGACTTGAGGGAAACATCTACCTGTAGCTCGCAGTTCACTATTTTAACAGATCACATGAGGGAAGAAAGCTGAATTAACTGGTTGATTACCTGCTTAACCTAGGTTTTGTCTGATAATGTAAAGATCACTGACATCCCTGCAAAGTGGATATTGAAATAGTCTAACATTATTTACTAGGTACCAAAGAATGTTTCCAGTATGTGACAAAGAGTAAAAAGCATGCAGGTCTCATAATTTACACCTGACACAATCAATTTAAAAGGGAAAACAATTTGGAAATTTAAAAACAAATTTATTGAAGTCTGGAGCCAATGTTTAAAAAAATTTAGAATGTATTTAGAAAAGAATAGCATGCACTCATGATGGGATGCCATAAAGATCATTTCAGATAGTGACAATTGTTAAATGAAATCAAAATGTATTCCTGTGGTTGACAAAATGGCATCAGCAGTGGAGTAGGCAACTGCCCTAAGACTTTTTTTTCCCCCAAAAAAACTTACGCCTAATAAACCCTCTTAAGCCTAGCTTTCCTGTAAATCAAGTCACTTTCCTTGACCAATAAGATCCTGACAGTAAACTGTATAATCCAATCAGAAATAAGCTTTTTTGCTTCCGAGTTAGTCAATAGAAAGCCAGTTACTGCTTATACTCGGCAAAGCACCTTTCCACTTTAGGTTTGGTGCTACCCATTCGCCAATCTTCTGCCCGAATAAACCTCACATAAACAGATTAATTTCATTATTGATTCAGTTTCTACTGACATGATTATTTAGAGAAAAGCTGAAATTCAATTAACTAACATTCTTTTAATAAACCTGACATAGGAAAATGAATGAAGGCAAAAGTAAATCCGTTAAAAACAAAAACTTTAAATGTTCCTTTTCAAAGGTACCAAGGGGTGAGAGAGTCAGTAATTTCCTCATTTCACTCCTCACTCCACCTCACTCCTGTAAAGGAAGAGAGTGATGCAGAATTGACTGAGACAAGTCACTGCTCTTCTTTACATATAAGAACACGCGAGGTCAGCGTCTCAGGAGAGAGGTGGGGGTTTCAGAGTCCCAGGAACAGGGAGAGAGGAGGACGGACGGGCCGGGTGGGGCTGGAATGTCGCCAGAGACTCCCAGTGAGGACTTGACCCGGAGTAGGACGGGCGGTGGTCTGGGAAGGGTTTTAAGCAGAAAAACGACACGGCAGGTGGCGTCTACACGACCCGAGGGCTGAAAGGCCGGGGCAGGGACACGCCTCAAAGCGATTTTACACCGAAACTGACGCGAATCCGCGGCCGGCGGCGGAGAGAACCGGAATAGGAACGTCTCACGGGCGCGCCAGGATTTCCGAGGGTGGGAAAGGCGAGTGCGAGGACTTTAACGCCCGCAGCCAACCTGGGCCGGGTATGGAGGAGGGAGAACGAAAAACGCACGTTTAGAACATAAAGATGGACACTCACTCTCTTCACCATGACTTCGGCTCCTCGGAGTACGCTTCAGCGTCTGCAGTAAACTGCGCAGGCGCGCGGCGGGAAGAACGGGCAAAGCGTGGAGGCGGGGCTTGGACGGGTTCAACGAGCAAGGGGTGGGGAGTAGAGACGGGCCGGGGGTGAGCGAGGCA